CCAACACAACACAGACTAACATGCCACCATGACATCAGTATCACTGCAGTGCTAAAACTGATCCGCCACCCAGATAATAGGACAGGACCCTCTGGGGATCCTGACCACTAATGAACAGAGTAAAATGAGGCTAACAAAGTATGCAGAGAAACAGATGGACTACAGTCTGTAATTTTGGAACTACAGAGTGCACCTAAATGGTACGTGGAACTGAAAATGGATATTGATTGTAGATACAAGGTACTTGTACTTAATGTAGTGGCATCTCAGTGTATGATGCAGATTCATTTCTATGTATTCAATGTATAAGCAAGCAAGCAAAGTTTATTTATATAGCGCTTTTTACAAGAGGTGTTGTCACAAAGCAGCTTTACAGAAAGAAAAAAAAATCAGCGTTACAGAAAGAAAATCTGGGTCCGAGCCCCCATGAGTAAGCCAGTGGCGACAGTGGCAAGGAAAAACTTCCAAGAGAAGGAGGAAGAAACCTTGAGAGGAACCAAGACTCAGAAGGGGAACCCATCTTCCTCTGGTCGACACCGGATAGCAAACATTTTTATTAGAAGTATTATAGTACAAAGCGGGAAAAACAGGTGGGGCAATGGTTAATTTGATTAGTTTATGATTATGCAGTGGCAGCAGCAGCGTCTGAGGGTGAGGATTGCACAGCGTTGTACAGCATGAAGCTCTATGGTGGTCAAGCTGGTCCAGAAGGCTGGCGAGCAGTGGCACCCGATAAAGGCAGAAGAGGTAACAGCATCAGACGCACAGGATGGGCAGCTGTTCAACTTGGCAAAGAAAGGAAAACAGACAGAAAGTCAGTTCTATAATGAGTGACTGATCACAGATTACAGTGTTAACGGAGCAGGAGAGACTCCAGCAGGTCTAGATCTGACAGGGACAACTAATTGCCAAAGGCTTGATTATACAAGTAAGTTTTTAGCCTAATACAGCAATGCAGTAAAATGCACATACAAAACCTTTAGTGCCATAACAATAGGTGTTCTAAATAACCTTCGGTGGACAAATACTATAAGTTATGTATCTTATTGATCCGACGAGGGAAAGTTGTCCTTCTGCTACTTAACTATGCCAGTGCAGAGTTGCCAACAGAGCACATGGTACACATGGTGCAGTAGGGGGTTAAGTGCCTTGCCCAAGGGCATGATCAAGTATACCCAGTCAGTCCAGGCATTTGAAACAGCAACCTTCCAGTTACTGGCTCATCCGTCCTGCCACTAGGCTACTAACTAGACCCCTGCTTATGTGGCCAAACTGTCCATTGTTAAAACAGCAGCTGTCAAGGATGGCTTATTTAAATTAGCCTCTTTAAAGGCCACTGAACATGCCATTGTTTTTAATGAATGCACACACCAGCTCTGTCACTTTCAGTTTTCTGGAGTGAAACTGCATTTAAAAATGTAGTTAACCAGTTAATAAAACCATTTTTTGATACTATTCATAGAACGAGGATCACTTTAATAATTTGCCCAGTACACTTCAGCAGTGATGCTCTGTGAGCTACAGCGTATAAAGTACAGTACACAATAGTAAAATGTGGAAGGGATCAAAAATTAGCAACTACTGACATTTACTATTGCATATTAATGTCTATCGTTTATGAGGTAACCTAAATACTCTTCCCAGCTGAATATATGTTTAATGATGCAGACTAGGTTTCATCAGAGGTGAATCCCATGGCAGTACCTGTAAATGCAGTAGATTACCCAGCCAAACAATATTCTCTCATAATGTTACTACACACCTTTTCCCCTTAGCGGTTTATCACCACATTAAAATAGCTGGGTCTAACCTGGTCACCCCATTGAAAAGGTTCTGACTATGCTACTGCATAAGAATAGTCTTTTTTTTCAGCTGGTAGAAGCGATAAGCACATGCCATGTTAAGCGTTACAAGCTTTATCATTCAATTTTCAGCCAGTGAACTGTCTCCTCATCCTTTATAATGTCTCTGAATAGAGAGGATGTAGCTCAGACTCACAACTGTAAGTTTATAAGTTCTCGTATTTACACATGAATCTGTTTCAAGAAAAAATGAGGCAGGAAATAGATGCTAAAGCTGTCAAATCTTTGCTCATTTGGGCCTTACAACATACTAATATGGAAGTTTGATCATCAGGACGAGGCACCATTTAGAGGAACAGTAATATCCATCTGTGGTAGCCTTAGCTAAGTTAGCAGCAGCCAAGTTAAAAGGTGATATTTTTTACTGTCATCATTACACTTCACACCTACCACCAAAGTAAATTTATTGCGTGACTTCATCAGTGATATTTTTTTCAAGGCAGAATCTTGAAAGACGGTGTTATGTTGGCATCTGAAACATAACCTACACATTGCGGATGGGCAGTCAGTGGTTGACTTTAGAGAAACGATGAAGACATAGGAGTTTATTCTAATTTAAAAATTGAAATGTTTTATTCCACCTTGATAAAGTGACTGCTGGGTTAGTGACAGCCAGTCAGAATTAGGCTTACCATGGCAGTTTTGCAGCAGGAGGTCTCTGAGTGTTGCATTTGTTTTCCAAACAGCAGTTTGAACTCCCATTAAAAACACATAAAAGGCACAATTGTTCTATGGTTACCCCAGCAGTTTAACAAGTTATTTCTGGAGGCAGCTGCAACCAAGACTGTCTCAGATGCATCCATGGCACGGGTACTAACAGTCACTGGCAGACCGACTACAGCCGGAGCTAGTTACACGGGTCTCAGCAGCGTGTTTTTCCACATTTTTAGTGGGGCTTCCCTTTAAAGGGTATTTCACTCATTCTTCAAAATTTCTTCATAATTCAGTGGTTGGGATGTAAATTAAGTCATTCAGAGTGGTTTGATGTGAAATGGTTTGTTGTAGAGAAACTTACTGACTCAGATTTCTTTACAGAGGTGACAGAAATCAGTCATGTCCACAACACAGTATAGCCATTTTATTTACTTTCCAGGGGCTGGAATGTAACAGAATCCAATATTGCGAATATGTATTCAGAATATAGCAATGAGGTATGTGTAAGTTACATTCTGTAAATACTTTCTACATTTTTAGGAGAATACTTTTAGAATAATTCCCCACTAAATAAAAAAGTCTTCAAAAGAAACTCCCATCAATAGTTATTTATTAACTATTTTAGAATAAGTGCATGGCATGTAGCAAGCATGCTCGTTAGACAAAATCTAAATAAGAGCTTTAATTAATAGCTTCCTGCTAAAGCCTGAGTAGACTGATAAATCAAAGTGATGATTCAGTTATTAATCTCAGTGTTACTGAGTCTGAGTAGGCTACTAAATTAATTTGATGAGCCAGTTATTAATTTTAGCATTACTGAGCTCTCTTGAGGGATGGTTAAATTAATGATCTGCTCAGTATTGAACATGTTTGCGAGTGATTGAACATGTACTGTACAGGAGATTTTGGGAGTAGCCGTGGACTGAAGCAGGCTGTGAGAGAGAGAAAAGCTGACTTGGCAGTTTTCATCCAGTAAAGAACAGAGCATTTCACATCAGGGAGAACACAAGAATTGAGCATTTCACACTCACATTCACACTCAAACCACTCTGAATGATTTTGCTGAAATGTTAATCATTGAATTATGCAGAATTTTGAAAAACACTTGAGTTCCCTTTTAATGTGGAGTAGGTATTTAATGTCAGTCCTGGGTACTTGCTGTATGTTGAATGTTTGTATCTCCTGATTAGAGAACTGTGAAGTCCTTCATTAAGTGAGGCAGGTCATTAGAGTGAGGCAAACATCTAATAATATGCGTGTGAGGGTGCCACCTAGCATTTAGTCCATTAACTACAACTTAGTCAGTGCATAATACAGAATGAACAAAGAACATACTCAGATCTGGTGAAACTGAATGTCAGCACAAACACCATCAGACCAAACGGCCTCAGAGAAAAGGTATCAGACCAAACGCAAGCTTGGTCGAGAATATAGTGGTTCGTATAACTTAGAAAACTATTATGTATCTCTATATAAATGCCAGTATAACATTTCCAGTTTTTTCTGACTGTGTTTGGTCTGACGGTGTTTGGTCTGACGTTCAGTTTCACCAGATCTGAGTCATGAAGTTTATCTCTGACTTGGGGGCCTAAGGATGTCCTAAAATGTACCCTGTAGCCCCGCCCAGTGCTATTTAACATATATTTGCATGTTGGTCAGTTTGAAAACGAAATTGAAAAGTGGAAAATGTAAAGTAAATGTCCAGCAGGTGGCGCCAATGTTCGTTTGCATTTGCCTTTTCATTCTGACACCTAAAGCGCGTCCGCGCCGAAAACTGAATCACAAACTGTCACTTTGCTGCTGATTTATCCATTTTGCATTTTCATTTTGTCAGATATGCAGCCGATTGCTGTGAAAAAGAAATAAGAACGTAAACACTGCATTTTGATTTTAGTTTTGACATGTATTCTGCATTTCATGAAGAAAAGCCAAAGCTAAAGTGAAGCTTGGATTTTATTTTCTCTATTAGCTTTTTCATTTTAGATTTGGCCATGAAAAACCAGAATAACGACTAAAATGAAATGACAAACAGCTGTTTTACATTTATTTTTTTATTTTTGTCACAAATGGCTCGTGCTTATGTGAAAAATGAAATTGCAAATGTAGGTATTTCATTTCATTTTCAATTTTGGCAGGATATTTGCGCAGATGATTGGAAAAAGAAAAGGCAAAAAAGAGGTTTGCATTTTCATTTTATGGTTTTAATTTATTATTTTTTTCTTTTTTGGCTGGATTTGCCTCCCATACTAAACAGGTCCTGTTCAACCCCTCCAATTTTCAGCCCAATGTTGAGCCGTTACTATTACCCAATCAGGGCGCTGGAGGCGGGGCTTGATTGAATAGGGTGGGATTTAAAATAACAACCGTTCCGCCTTTTTCTGTGACCGCGTGGTTCCAGTGTGAAGCCGCTTCAGGCCAGGTGGTGGCGCTAATTCTGCAACCATAACTTTCTCCAACTGCACTAAAGCGGAGAAGCAGAAGGTTGTCCACGCCTCCGCGCTCATACAGTGTTGATGGAGGAGCAGATACAAGAGCTGAACTGTTGAAGGTAGGAAGCTGTCCGACACTTTAACACTCACTGTTCTTCATTCACTCTGAGACAAACAGCTGGAGACACATTTGAGTTCTGAAAATAAGATTTAATGGGTTTAAAATAGATTAAACAACACAGAAGCAGCTTCATTCAAACAGAGCTGAGTAATGTGAGCTGCTGGGCCAGAATATTTAATGGAGTTTTTGTATTTATTTATGATTTACACTATAAACAAGCTACGTGGAAAACTTCCATTGTGTTAACAATGCTCTTGTCTAGTGGACTAAAATGCTGTTTTGCTTTCAGGCCAACGCTGCCCAGTTAGTTTTAAAGAGTCTTTTGGAAAATTCTTGGCTTATCATATAAGCTTCTGTACTTTTGTGTGTTCATGTTATCAAGTCAGCTCCTTCTTTGTCAAACAAGCTGTAGAAATGAGTCCTTTAGTCCTTTGTGACTTTCTCTGCTCCACTGTCAGTTGTTGAACACATACAACCATCTTACCAAATAATCATAAAAAAACAAAAAGATGTCATACCAATATTAATCACGTAATTATAATATGTGTAGAAATATTGACTAAAGTTATGCAAAGTGGGTGAAATTGTATAGCTATTTGTACAAATGTGGTGAGCAGATCAGTTTGTTCAATATGAAGTGCTTCCTGAGAGCTGTGAATGTCTGGGTGGGGGTTGGTGGTCAATAGCTGGTAGATTAAGAGCTGGTAGGAGTGTCTGTGGTGGGTGTCTGAGGCCTAGAGAGGGGGAGGTTTAGTGTGTTGGAGCAGTTCAGGAGCTTGATGGTCTAGTTCAGGTGTTCCTGTCTCTGTCCTGGAGACCACATGCTCTGTATATTTTTGTGAATGAGGTGTTCTAGATAAAGGAAGGCAAAACTGTGTGTAGTGTGGGGTCTCCAGGACTGTAACTGAGATCCAAAGTCTAGTTGTAGAAACTTTCCTGAAAGCTTGATCTTTCACTCTTTCTCCAGAGAGCATGAGTGTGAATAGAGTGTGATGGGGCTGGTAGTCATATTCACAATGAAGTAGTTGTTCCTGCAGGAACGACTTCATAAAATACAATAAAATAAAATAAAATCATTTTAATTGGAGTGTGGGTGTGTCATTAGCATAAGCCCCGCCCTTCCTACCCACTTCAATCTGATAGGATGCACTCAGATGTCTAGTTTTGATTGACAGTGATTTCCATGAAAAACTGTAAATGAGAGACACCCAGAAGAGACCAAGAGTTGTATTGGAGATACCGTTTTACAGTTCAGTGTGTCACATCATATTAGTACATTATGTGTTAGCTAAAAAGTGTTAAGACCTAAACAAAATGGATTCATATGGACTTGGAGGTGATTTATGACTTATATTTTCCACAGATTCTGAGGCTGAGATTTTCATATTCAGGGACTGATGTTCACCAGAGAATTGGATAACACTTTGTTAGTGGGTAAGTGCATAAAGTTGTGTGTGTGTGTTACTTTCTGTAGAATAGTCCCCAATATATTGACTTTAATATTAATGCCAGATTTGCTGCTTTTGTATATATTACAAATTAAGATCTCAGGCAATAGATTGATCAGAACAAGACTTTTATCGACCAGGTACATTTGCATATGCAAGGAATTTATCTTTTTATTAAATACTGCATGCAGTAAAGGATAATTTCAATCTATTTTGAGGCTTTTGACTTCAGTAGGTCAAACTACAGCCTGTCAGGGGGTTTTATAGACAAATGTGAAAATCAGGAGCGTTCTTGAACTCTGGGCAGATCAAAGCATCTGTATCAAGCTTGTCGAATTGTATTGGAACAAGAAAAAGAAAACAAAAGTAAAATGCAATCAACATATGTGAGGATGTTTTTTTAATGCAGGAAAATTAGTCAGATCTCATGTGATCAAAGAGGGGGTGCATTTTTGTAAAAAGTGCAAATGGAATCTGGCCAGAGCCAAATATGATGCGGGCACGGAACACAATGCAAGGTTTAAAAAGGCTCATAATCCAAGTGCTATATTGAGTACAATTTCTAACAAGCTAACTGATACCTCATACAAACTAATGTAGTAAATAAAGTCTGACAGTTAGCTCTCTCCCTGTGACCCAAGCCACATTCATGTAATGTTAGAAGCCAAACTGGAGTAAAAATGCATGTATTTTTTGAAACAGACTAAGACCCAAAGTATAACAAACTAACTTACTGCTCTTCTGGAGTATGAATATGTCATCAAATATCTGAACATCAGTCCAATGCCAGTGTGTGTGTGTGTGTGTGGCGATTCATATATATATATATATATATATATATATATATATATATATAGTAAATACACATACACATATGATTTTAATATTATTTTGCATTAAATGTGAGGGCTTTGGTAAGTGACACTCTTTCCTGAGCCCCCAGCTTAAACACACAGCTACAGTGCTGAATCTGCTAAATCAGAGGTTCATAAACTTTTATTGCCAGGTAATGTTTGCCCTGCAACCCACACAATAAAAGTCAAAGATTTTCAGCCACTTTTACTCAGCGTTCTGTTCTGTCAATCAACAAACGCAGCAGCACACCATGATAAAAAAATTACACATGCATAGGCCTGCATTGGTGAGATGTGTGATAAATGTCACTTATTTGTTCTGTAACTAGATGTAATCCATTCAACCTTTACCTTTACTATGAACACTTTAATACATTTTATTCATATTTAGTTGGTTATTACATCTGGAAGCTTTGAGTGGCGACCACATGTCTGTACTGCTGTATTTTGATTTGTTTAGTGTCTCCTACTGCAGTTTTTTCTTAGTTCAGTGTTTGGATAATACTGGAATGGCAGCCCAGGCACCATGACTGCTTTAGATGGGATATTTATTCATTTAAAGAGTAAAATTACCTTTTCATTTAATCACAGTTTTAGTCTCCTGGCAGTATTGGTACCTTTTTTCCTGCTGCATTCCTGTTTGCCAGTTGTACAAAATCATCCTGCAGCTGAATCACTGGTACAGCATGACCATTTTCTCTTATTTCCAGAAAAAAAAGAAATGCAGTACCCAATTCTGATCCATCTAGGATCCATCTATTGGAACCCATCATTTAGCTTTAGTGATTGCAGTGCAGTTCATTGCTTATTGTTCTCTATGTAACTGTTGTTCCTGCTGCTTTCAGATTGACCTGCAACTCTTTTAGTGAGTACTGCCTTCTCTGTTAACTTCATTATAAGTCCATGGGAAATCTTGCGTTACCATCTTGCAAAATCATTAGTTGTTTCCATTAATATTTCAATTGCATGTTATCAAACTGGTTGTACTGACAGGGATGTTCAAGGTGTTTGCGAAGGCTTTTTTTTCCGTGTTTAATAATGACGTCCCTAAGAATTTTAGGAAGCTTCTTTACGTTCACCACGATTGCCTCTTGTTGCATGGATTTTTTTCCTAACAGATGGCAAATTTTTTTATAATGACAGCAGGTGCAATTTGCGCAAGAACATTTATATTTTGCAGCATTGATATGTAGAACTTGTTTTTATTTTTAACTGTGACATATTTTTAAAATATTGTATGAATATGTTTTTCCGTATTTGTTTTGTTTTTTTGTTTTATTTATGCTTATGATTACATACTTTTTTGGTGTATTTATAAGATCAAAGTCAACAGACATTTCCATTAGTTGTGTACAATTTAAGTGGCTATACGTGCTGGTAGTATTTTAAATAACAAGTATTCAGACACTTTTGTTTTTACTCACTGAGGTATTTCCTGCAGTCCATAAACATACATACATATACATCAACTAAACCACTTATCCTTCTGGGTCGCGGTGGGTGCTGGAGCCTATCCCAGCTGTCATTGGGCGGAAGGCAGGATACACCCTGGACAGGTCACCAGTCCATCACAGGGCAGACAGACAGACATACACATTAACACACACTCACACCTAGGGGCAATTTTAGCATGTCCAATTGGCCTGACTGCATGTTTTTGGACTGTGGGAGGAAACCCACGCAGACATGGGGAGAACAGGCAAACTCCACACAGAAATGACCCTGGTCACCCGGCCGGGAATCAAACCCAGGCCATTCTTGCTGTGAGGCGACAGCACTACCCACTGCGCCACCGTGCCGCCCAGTTCATGAACATTTTAAAATATTCTTTGCAGCAGCTGTGTTTGTTGTTCTTGTTGATGTTGCTGTTGACATTTTTCTGTCTCTGTCTTGTTTGTACCTCTGCCTCTCAGTGCAGTCTCCCTCAGCATTTCTGAAATTACCGAATAATTGCTTCTTGGGTGAGAAAAGTCTGGATTTTAAATTAGTTGTCCAATTGGTAGTATTACTAAATTTTTCAAAGGCTCTGAATGCTCATTTAACCTGGCTTCATAGCCAAGCTATTAAGATCTCTAAACAGCTTATTGCTGAGCTTGTGGACCCGGGTAAAAAATTTATTTTAATTGGTTATCTAACACTGTTACTGTTATTTATTTGCTGATTTTAATATATTACAGAAGAAAAACAACATTAAAATCTGGTGTGTGTAAAAGCTCGGGCTCCCCCTCAGTCAATGATGGTTGTAGTCAAAGAGTGCAGTTTTTGACTACAGCACACTGTGTTGCCTCTGGTTTATTTAAGAGTTGTTTGCAATCTTCAGACATTGACATTTCTGATGATATCACAGTAAGATCACCTTCTGACAATCTTCCTGCAGATGTTTGTGCAACAACACTGCACAGTAGGCCAGTCCATCACTGTTCCTGTGCCAGCCAAATCATTTTGCAGGTCTTGGGCAGTGAGGCAGGGGTTTTGCTTTGCATAGCTTGCCAGTCTACAAGCAGTTTTTTTCCAGAGATATTACTTGGTCTTCCAGTATATCACTTTGACTTCAGTAGGTGTCCTTAACATGTTTTTATTCTTAATGCCATTTCAGACAGTGAACGTTTATAAACAGGAAGTAATCAGATATTTTAGATTCTTCTTTTGCTTTGTAAGAGTCGATTATATTTAGCTTCAGATTCTCAGACAGCTGTTTAGATGAACCCACGGCTGTGAAATGTAAGACATTTGAAGGATCACCTAATTTATTATGCTCTGAAATTGTCTGTACATGATTTGGATTAAGGCTGAATGAGTCAAATAATCTTTGAGACCTTTCAAAAAATGTACATAGGATAAAACATACCGAGTTTAGAGTATTTTTTTTTTTTAACTTCAAGGCATGATGGTGGCATTTTTCAAATAATTCTAGTCATTCTTGCCATTCTTTGCCCCGGAAATTCCGATATTTAAACTATGGAATGATGACTTGAGTGGTCTATATTGTCTATTAGAGGAATTTAAGTCATAAGGTGATATGGCTTTTCCACATCAGATAGAAGTTTATTCTTTCTTTCCACCTTCTACCAGTTGATGTAAGTGGAGCATTCATGATTTGGATGAGACCACTTTTGTTGCATTGCACATTGATTTTGGATTTTCTTTGTTCTTCTTTCAGTAATGAACGAAGTCTTCTCCAGCACTTTTCTACCCAGCTTAAATGTGCTTCCATAATCACATCAGAGCATTCCACCAAGAAGGAAGTAAAACTGCTGAAACAGTTGAAAGATAAGAATATGGCATCCAGAAGACGTTCCACTGCTCAGCAAATGTCATCTGGTGCCCTCCACATGACCACATCTAACAGACAAACACGGAAACGCAGCAAGAGCAATCACTGTTGCTTAGAGTGTGGGAAGAGTTTTACTCTACAGATTTCTCTGAAAATACACGAGTGCGTTCACACAAGAGAGAAGCCGTATCACTGCTCAGAATGTGGAAAGAGTTTTACTCAGCAGGCTTCTCTCCGACAACACATGCGTATTCACACAGGAGAGAAGCCGTATCACTGTTCAGAGTGTGGGATGAGTTTTACTCAGCAGAGTACTCTCCGGCAACACAAGCATATTCACACAGGAGAGAAGCGATATCACTGCTCAGAGTGTGGGAGGAGTTTTACTCGACTGAGCTCTCTCCAAAAACACCAGCGCATTCACACAGGAGAGAAGCCGTATCGCTGCTCAGACTGTGGGAAGTGTTTTACTCGGCAGAGTACCCTACACGAACATCAGCGCATTCACACAGGAGTTAAACCATATTACTGCTCTGAATGTGGGAAGAGTTTTACTCAACGGACTAATCTCCAACAGCACCAGCTCATTCACACGGGAGAGAAGCCGTATCACTGCTTGGAGTGTGGGAAGAGTTTTAATCGTCACAGACATCTCCAAGAACACCAGCGCATTCACACAGGAGAGAAGCCGTATTACTGCTCAGATTGTGGGAACAGTTTCAGGCATTCAAAGACTGCAACAAGACACAAGTGCTTTAAGAGCAGTGATGGAAACGAACAGGAATGAGAGTAACCATAACACATTCCAGGAGAAAAAGTCTCCAGGGAGTGGTGCTTCCAGCCCAGAATTCAAACTGTTTTTAAGGTAAAGCCACCTATTATTTAACACTGTTCCTGAAACATGAGCATAAATTGAAATATGATTTCCTGTGTTGAACACCAAGTCAAGCCTAAAGCTTATACCACCAATTAAGGTGTGGTACTGCATATTCTCCCCAAAATGATTCCTTTATCTGTTGAAAACAATTAAGAGGCTCCACATTCAATAATAAGAGGTTCTTTGCTCTCTAATGTATTATATCTAAAAAAGTATTTTATTTCTCATGTAATAATGGATATTTTGACACACATTTGACAGTGTGCTTGACTCCTTAAATCCCACTTTGCTCCTTTGATTCCTACACATTAACTAGTTAATGGTTGTGGCTATGAAATTGCCACTTTGCCTTCCCTTTGAACCTTTAGGATATGTTGTCCGTATGCTGTAGTTTCGAAATATTTGTGCCTGGGACTGCAATAAAGGAGACATGACTCTGAAGACTGCAACAGGGAAGTTTTTTTGCTGTGCTGGGTAGAATGAACAGCTTTGTAATGGAGACACTGGAGTATGAAGGACTGCAAGATAGCAAGCTATCTGAGTGACGTATTGGCGACCTCTCCTCAGTATGGTTTACACATGCCTGTTCTACACGGCATAAAGTCACATACAAGCCTAGAGTACAACTCATCCATGAACTTTCCATTATTGTATTCATAGACTAAATACTCGTGTCTGTGTTCTTTGTGACACTCGGAGAGTGACTGTTCTTTGAGAAGGGCAATGTCACATGAGATAAGGACGTGTTTATGCCAATCTCAAATCTGTTCTGCCAGACATAGTGGTGGCCTATGGTTCAAGAGTTTGAACTGGGTATATCATTGTAGAACTGGGATAAAGGTGACCAATACGGATGTTCAAAGCCTTGGGGCACACTGAGAGCGACTCTTGTTGATGTCATTAGGATGCACATGAGGGATATTTTCTTTGTTTTCTAAATCTCACCACTGACACTGTCTTCAGTTATGTTCCTGAATCAATCCAAGTATGCATTGTAATAGTTTTGATTTGTAATGATGATTCAATATGCATATATGTGAAGTGTCTAATTTACATATAATTTGCGTAAAAGCATTACTACTTTGACCAGGTCTGTGTTATGTGGCACTTGGACACTTGGGTGCTCTTAAGCACCCACTGCCCCCCAATTCTCTCGTCATTTTCTTTAAGCTTTTGCGCATTAGTTTTTTTTTTTGTTGTTGTTGTTCTTCTGCTGCCCTGGCCAGGGTGTATCCTGCCTTCTGCCCAATGCCAGCTGGGATAGGCTCCAGCACCCCACCGCGACCCAGAAGGATAAGCGGTTTAGATGACAGATGGATGGATGTTCTTCTGCTTTTATTTTTAAAGTAATATTCCTTTTTTATGTTCCTGTAAACCTGAAAAAATCATATTAAATTTTGTGTATTCTTTTGAAAATCATAATGGGGTCCACTCTTTAGTAAGAAAAAAAAATGAATGGGTGTTTTTAATAATTTATAAATTTTAATTTTAGTCATGCTGTGGTAAATCTTTCTAACACTAAATCAGCATTACCTTGCTTTACCTTTTGTGATCAGAACAAGAAGCTAGTTACTAAAACATAACGGTCTTGTGTATATGTGAGTAATGGATGACCAGGGGCAGTCCGTACTTCATGGACGTTTCTCTGCATATGCAGCTCAAACAAAGAAATCTGAACACTAAATGAGTCACCATGTGACACCTGCATGTGATGTCACTGGGGCTGTATCACCTCATGACTCACTGCAGACTTCTTTAGGGACCTGGATCTTCTCCCACACTCCAAGTAAACAGGAACCCTGGTGGTCATCCACTACTCACATAAGCAGTTACATTTATAACTACCATTATGTTTTGTGTCACCTGACTGCCAGGGACTTATCTTACCTACTGTATGATTTGTACCCAAGCCGTCACGAGGAGTGCATCAGATGTGGCCCCTGACGTAGGATACTGCACCCAGCTTCAAGTCCAATGACACCATCACATTGAAACTGTAGAATTGGGGGAAAAAGTGCAGGGTGTAGATTATGCGGCTGCTGCACAGATGTCAATGAAAGGAACTCCTTTTAGGGCAGTTCAGGATGTGGTGATTCCCCTGATGAAGTGTGTAATAGCCTAGTTGTCAGCTATGTAAGTCACCTCAATAACATTGACCAGCCAGTGTGAAAGGTGCTTCCTGGAGAGCTGGGATCTCTCTTGGCTTTTGAAAACCATATGAACAGCTGATCTGTCTTCTGCACCTTCACAGTAGCAGAGACGTAGTACCTCAGTGCTTTCACACGGCGCAAGAGCTGTCTCTTGGTGTTTGACTGGTCAGTGTACGCAGGAAGTCTGGATTCGGCCTTAAAGTCACATACGAGTCATCCGAACCCCACTAAAGGCAAAAGGGGCTGACAGATAACGCATGTAGGTCACATATGTGCTTTGCAGTGGCCAAGGTGAACAAAAGTTTGGTTTTTAGTGACAACCACTTAAAAGTAGCTTGCTCCAAGGGTTCAAATGGAGTGTCAAATGGAGAGCTCCTAAGGTGGTGGCCAAGTCGAGAAGGGCCAGTGGAGCTTCCAAGCCCCTATCATGAAGGCTATGACTAGCTTGTGAGGGCCCAGTGATGTGCAGAAAGTGAGACCTCCCAGTCCGAAAAACCTTGTATACAGTTTGAGTAGAAAGAACTCTCATAGTCAGAATTGTGTTTAATGACTCTGGGAGAGCTCAATGACAGGAGGTGGTTCTAAGGGCCACAGCTGGAAGTAATCCGATTGTGGATGCCACACTTCTCCCCCAACCCGAGTTAGATGGTTCTTCTGTATAGGGAGTTTCTACATAACATCCATTAGTAGAGATAGAAGCAGAGGAAACCAGAGGCTACCAGGAAGACCTGATGTCATTCTCTTTGAACTCCAGAATGAGAGGCAGCAGGGGAAATGCAGAGACCAGCTCCCTCAGACAGTTGTGGGCCATGGCATCCTGTCCCTAGCGGGCTTTCTTGGTTCCACTCTGAGGACTACAGATGACAGTGAGTCGTGTCTGATAAGGTGAAGAGGTCCACCTATGCCTGCCTATATTTGTCCCAAATCAAATTGGCCACATCTTGGTGGAGGCTCCAGTGGCCGATATAGTGGCACCCAAGATAGACAGCAGAGCATTGCTCCAAGCACATATCTGCCCTGGAAATTTGGAAGAAAATGGTTTAGTTTCACTGCTCATAGCTCAAGGCGGTTGATATCCTTCTGGGCAACTTCTGTTGTCCACCTGTGCCTCCAAACAGCACCCCATTATGTTATAGATGCATTCGTTGTCACTACCTCCCTGTATGCTGGCAGCTGACCCATTATTGTTTTGGACGTGAGGAACTGTAAGAACCCCTGTGGTCTGAGGGCCTCCAGACACATGGAATATGGACTCGAGCGTGCCTGTGGCAAAGTAGGTTTAATTGGAGAGATATCAGCTACATCTGGAAGCTTCTCAAGTAGTGCCTCCTTAACGCAATGAAACGTAAGGAGACCCTGAAGCCACAGAAATTTAGGTAGTACACCCTTGCGCCCAGCCTCAGGTGACTGATGAACAGCAGAATTGCCTGTGCATTGGTCTATGGTAGTAAGGCCTTCATCATTTGGGCCATCTGGCTTTTAGTCTGCCAAAAGCTCTCTCTACACACATACTTGCTGTGCTCTGTCTGTAGTTATACATGTGCTGATCCTGTGTAATCCCGTCACCTCCAAGATATGGTTTCTGTAGCCATGGTATGCTCCATCCGCTACAATAGATGCTGGAACAGAAACACCTTGAAATTCCTCCATGATGGAAAAGTTTTCCAGACTGACCTTTCCAGAAGATGGAGGAATTGCCAAACAGTTTTGCATTATGCCAACCTGCACTGATATCCCAAAACATTAGCTTGCGGTCCACGACACCCTGCAGCAGTATGGAGTAGTAGCCTTCCCTATTGTAACAATCTGCCTGACTATTATGTTAGGCTAGCCCCATTTATCCCTGAAGCCATTGATGTATTTCGCAGGTGGGACCTTGATTAGCAGTGGCTTCAGGTTGTGGACAATGGTAGAGACTACCTCTTGTGTTACCGTGCATGCTGTTGATATGCCTATGCCAAAGAGGTGCGAGATGGATCGGTACTCAATATTTGTAGAGAGCCTCCATAAGGTCATTCCAACACTTTGCTCCACTGTAAGAGGAACTCTGTAGCATGTTCTTTGTCTCTCCAGGTGAGGTCTCAGGTTATTGCCAAGATACATGTATGTGTCTCTTCGCATCCTTACATTATCTGTTACTTTTACTGGCCATATGGAAATATGATTTTTACGAGGTAACGCACAGAGCTGATCTCAAGATCAGACCATTAGCTTAATTGAAAGATAAATAAATAAATAAGCATGTCAAGTATGTGCACAGGACGTTTTCTGATTCATTTTACATTAGACATTTTAGTTTATACAAATAAATACATCAAAATTGTTCTGGACAACTAAATATTTTTAAAAAATTGCTTTATTTTAGGGTGAGATTAAATGGTACAGCGCTACTAAAAGCATGCCAACTACAGCCAACACAAGTTAACTTTGAATGATAATAGCTTAATATTTCTTTAAGCATGATTTATAATGTCTATGTGTCTGCCTTGTGATGGACTGGCGACCTCTCCAGGGTGTTTCTTGCCTTTTGCCCAATGAGCACTGGGATAGCCTCCAGCAACCCCAGCAACCTAGAAGGATAAGCAGCTTAGATGAATGAATACCATTAGTCACTGTGGAACCATTTAAGCCCAGTACACTCCATTTAAGCCTTGATCAATGTGTTTCAATGAGGAGTTCCTCTAATTATGAACTTGGATCCATTCTTACTGCACTCTTGTGTGAAAGTGTTTTATAATAACAATTCTATGTATCCTTTTATTTTACTGACCTAATTTACAACTATAATTAGAGCTATACGTTACAAACGACACATTGTTTAAAACTATTGTATTAGCATCAGCTAATGAGTATCATTTGTATTCAGTGAGAAAAACAACAACAAAAAGACAAAACTACAGCATCTGGTTACGGTAGCAGTTGGGAGAACAGAGAATCTCAGGCGACCCTGTCCCCTGCAACTTCCTCCAGCTTATTCCAGGGGACCCCAAGTCGGTCCAAGGTCAACTTGGGTCCTAGGACGACCTCAGGGTCTCATGCCAGTAGGCCATGGCTGGTAAACCCTCCACCAGGAGGCAGCCAGGGGGCATCATA